ATCTGAGGTGATCTTGGAGCCCAGAAAAATAAAATCTGTCACTACCTCCATTTCTTCCCCATCTATTTGCCAGGAATTGAGAGGGCCGGATGCCATGATTTTGGTTTTCTTAATGTTGAGTTTCAAGCCAACTTTTGCACTCTCCTTCTTCACCCGCATCAAGAGGCTCTTTAGTTCCTCTTCACTTTCTGCCATTAGAGTGGTATCATCTGCATATCTTAGGTTGTTGATATTTCTCCCGGCAATCTTAATTCCAACTTTTGATTCATCTAGCCCTGCCTTTCTCATGATGTGCTCTGCATATAAGTTAAATAGGCAGGGCGACAGTATACAGCCTTGCCGGACTCCTTTTCCAATTTTGAACCAATCAGTGGTTCCGTGTTCGGTTCTCACTGTTGCTTCTTGACCCGCATATAGGTTTCTCAAGAGACAAATGAGATGGTCTGGTACTCCCATCTCTTTAAGAACTTGCCACAATTTGTTGTGATCCACACAATCAAAGGCTTTAGCATAGTCAATGAAGCAGAAGTAGATGTTTTTCTGGAACTCCCTAGCTTTCTCCATGATCCATCGTATGTTGGCAATTTGATCTCTAGTTCCTCTGCCTCTTCGAAATCCTGCCTGTACTTCTGGTAGTTCTCGATCCACATACTGCTGGAGTCTAGCTTGTAGGATTTTAAGCATAACTTTACTAGCATGTGAAATGAGTGCAATGGTGCGATAGTTTGAACATTCTTTGGCATTGCCTTTCTTTGGAATTGGAATGTAAACTGACCTTTTCCAATCCTGTGGCCACTGTTGAGTTTTCCAAATTTGCTGGCAAATTGAGTGTAGCACTTTTACTGCATCGTCTTTTAAGATTTTGAATAGCTCAGCTGGAATACTGTCACCTCCACTAGCTTTGTTGTTGCTCAGATTTTCTAAGGCCCATTTCACTTCACATTCTAGGATGTCTGGTTCGAGGTCAATGACCATCTCATTGTGGTTATCTGGGATGTTAAGCTCATTCTTGTATAGTTCTTCTGTGTAGTTTTGCCATCTCTTCTTAATCTCTTCTGCCTCTGTTAGGTCTCTGCCATTTTGGTCCTTTATCATGCCCATCTTTGCATGAAACGTTCCCTTCATATCTCCAATTTTCTTGAAGAGATCTCTGGTCCTCCCTATTCTGTTGTTTTCTTCTATTTCTTTGCACTGTTCATTTAAGAAGGCATTCTTATCTCTTCTAGCTACTCTCTGGAATTCTGCATTCAATTGGGTGTATCTTTCTCTTTCTCCTTTGCCTTTCGCTTCCCTTCTTTCCTCAGCTATTTGCAAAGCTTCCTCAGACAGCCATTTTGCTTTCTTGCATTTCTTTTTCTTTGGGATGGTTTTAGTTGCTACCTCTTGTACAATGTTGCGAACTTCCATCCATAGTTCTTCAGGCACTCTGTCTATCAGATCCAGTTCCTTAAATCTATTTGTCACCTCTACTGTATATTCATCAGGAATATGATTTAGTTCATACCTGAGTGGCCTAGTGCTTTTCCCTACTTTTTTCAATTTAAGCCTAAATTTTGCAACGAGAAGCTCATGATCTGAGCCACAGTCAGCTCCTGGTCTTGTTTTTACTGACTGTATAGAGCTTCTCCATCTTTGGCTGCAGAGTACATAGTCAATCTGATTTCTATGTTGACCGTCTGGTGATGTCCATGTGTAGAGCCGTCTCTTGGGTTGTTGGAAAAGAGTGTTTGTTATGACCATCGTATTCTCTTGACAAAATTCTATTAGCCTGTGCCCTGCTTCATTTTGTTCTCCAAGGCCAAACTTGCCTGTTATTCCGGTTATCTTTTGGCTTCCTACCTTAGCATTCCAATCCCCCATGATGATAAGGACATCATTTTTTGGTGTTAATTCTATAAGGTGCTGTAGGGCTTCATAGAACCGGTCAATTTCATCCTCTTCAGCACCAGTGGTTGGGGCATAGATTTGGACTACTGTGATATTGAATGGTTTGCCTTGGATTCGAATTGAGATCATTCTGTCATTTTGGGGATTGTATCCCAGTATTGCTTTTCCTATTCTTTTATTGACTATGAAGGCTACTCCATTTCTTCTGAGGGATTCTTGCCCACAGTAGTATACCTGATGGTCATCTGAGTTAAATTCACCCATTCCTGTCCATTTTAGTTCGCTGATTCCTAAGATGTCGATGTTCATTCTTGTCATCTCTTTTTTGACTACGTCTAGCTTGCCTTGATTCATGGATCTTACATTCCAGGTTCCTATGGAGAAAAAATCTTTACAGCATCGGACTTTCCTTTCACCACCAGATATATCCACAGCTGAGCGTCCTTTCGGCTTTGGCCCAGTCGCTTCATTCTTTCTGGCGCTACTAGTACTAGCCCTCTGCTCTTCCCCAGTAGCATATTGGACACCTTCCGACCTGAGGGGCTCATCTTCCAGCGTCATATCTTTTTTCCTTTTAGTACTGTCCATGGGGTTTTCATGGCAAAGATACTGGAGTGGTTTGCCATTTCCTTCTCCAGTGGATCACATTTTGTCAGAACTCTCTGCTATAACCTGTCCGTCTTGGGTGGCCCTGCACGGCATAGCTTATAGCTTCATTGAGTTACGCAAGCCCCTTCGCCACGACAAGGCAGTAATCCATAAAGGGGGGATTCCCCACTAGTGTCGGGCTAATGAGGCAGCGGGTGCAGCCAGAGTCTATTAAGGCTTTCACCTTCACGGCTTCGGGCATGGGGGGAATTAATATAGTCACTGTCTTGAAGATGGGTGCGATGCATCCACTTACCAGGGGTTTGCCCTCTGAGCTGTCATCTGAGGCGTCCACACGCCCTGCAGTGTAGGCTGGAGTTCTTTCCCCCTGATGAGCAGAGGTGGGGGGTTCTACAATTTCCATCATTCTCATGGCAGTTTCTTTTGGCTTAGCTGAAGACTTTCCGGATTTGCTGATTGGGGATCTGTCTGGGTTGTGCTGGGGGGCTTTGAAGCGGCATTCTACAGCTTGATTCCCTTCTCTTCCGCACTTGAAACACCCCATTTGTTTCTTGGCTGTAGCCAATGGTTTCACTGGTTCATGTGTCAGCTCAGGCGGGGGGCGGCTCCATTGTTTTCCTCGGCGGTGTCTCTTCAATATGTCGATCTCTGCTTCCTCTGCCAAGATGTACCCTTCCTCAAGTTGGTGTGGGTCCCCTTGGGGCAGGCAAGCGTCATATAGGTCATAATTTAGTCCGTCTTTGAAATGACTAAGGAGGATGTCTTCTGGCCAGTTCAGTTTGCTGGCAATGGCCTGGAATTCTTGTGTATATTCAGCCACTGGGTGTTTGCCTTGCCTCATCGTTTTTATCCTTTCGCGGGCTTTACGATCAGCCAGGGTGTCTTCAAATCGTCTTCTCAGAGAGGACATGAAACGGTTGAAGTCGTTGAGTTCTGGGGCATTGGAGTCGTGCAAGTTCACCACCCAATCTGCAGCCAGTCCGTCCAAGGCAGATTGCATGATCCGGATGCGGGCTTTGTTGCTGGGGATGTCCCGCCCGTATTCCTCCATGTAGCTGAGGACTTGGGTTAGGAAAAACCCCAAGTGTATTGGCTCCCCTTTGAATTTCACCTCCAACGGCGGACATCTTGGAATGGATCGGTGCCTCCGTTGTTGGTGATAGTGTCTTCCATCCAGATTGCCATCTGTAGTTCGGTAGGGAGTGGGGACTACTGGATCAGCAGATGTCCCTGGGGCTGCAGGTTCCACTTCCCCCTCGGTGTCTCTCCCTTTGCGGCTCCAGGAGCTGGGGTGGCCGTAGGGCTCAGGATTCTCCTCTCCTAGGCAGCTGAGTGTTCTCTTCATCAGGTCAATAGCTTTCTCTAGGATCCAGTCTGAGTATGGTGCCCAGATTTCTCCCTCTTCACTTGCGTGCAGGGATTTCTCCATCTCCTGCTTCCATTCTGGTTGCTTGGGCCCCCTTCTCAGGGTCACCTTTCTTGATTCCTTTCCCCACTCACTTTTCTTTCCAACACCCATTGACCAGTGAGGCTTGTGGTCCCGTGTCTCCACCACTTCTTCTCCTGAGGAATCTGACCTCTCGGATCCCAACATCTGGCAAGGTTCCAATTGGGTTAGCGGCTCTCTTTCCAGGGAGTTTTCCCCCTTTCTTGCTCCATTGTCTGACATGGTAATTTTTTGCAAAATCCCCCGGCAAGGATCTCCCTTCCAGGTGGATTAATTTTGCAAAGTCCTGTCTAATGTAAGGACCCACCCCACTTTGCATCTTAAGAAGACAGAACTCTTGGAATAATTCTTCCAACAGGCATCCTTTATTAAGAGAAAATCATTGCAGGCATTCTAGACAGGACTTGGGGTCCAAGCTCTCCCATTCAAGGTTTTAAGAGGTTCCCCAGTAGCCCCACCCAATCACCCCCCTCTTCCAGTGACAGTCTCAGGCATTACATTCCCACCCCCTTTTTCTTACTGCCGGCTGGATGGGGATTTCAAAGAAACTACATGAAAGGTAATAGCCCCATTCTTATGGTTAGCTCTTTTGGCAATACACACAACCAGTTCCTTTGAAGTGTACCGAAGGAAGTGAGGGCCATAAAGCCCCTTTGTTCACCCCCTTCCCTTCATCATATGGCAGAATCCATAGAAGGCAGAAATGGGTTTTTTTATAATTGATAACTAGAGATGAAATATAATTGGATTCTGACAGCTACTTATACACAAATATCTGGTCTACTAATGGCCAAACCAAACTGGCTCTAGATAAAGATAAATGGAATTCACGGGGGGCTGAACTTGGGTCTCTTGTGGCTGTGCAATGATTCCAAATGGATGACACATTTAACCCTATCCTCCAGCTCAGGTACTCATCTCTTACCCTAAATTTCCCTAATGGGGAGGGGAAATCTTTGCCTAGTTGGGTGAAAAATGAGTACAGAAATTTCTCTCATTGGCTCAGCTAAATGTGATTTTTAGGGAGGGGGCGATTTACATCTTCTCTCCTTCCCAGCAATGAAAGACCTCTGGGGTGAAAGACATCAGCAAATGGAAATCGAGGAGGCACTGAAAGAGATGACTATTGCTGGCTCCAAGAACCTGAGTATCTGGGAAGTGATGAAGCAGCGCAGCTTGCGATGGCCATTGCTTATCTCCATTCTGCTGGTCACAAGTTTGCAGCTCTGTGGCCTGGGTGCAGTTGAGTAGAATACTATTTGGAATCAGCTAAGAAAGTGACCTTTCGTTCCCTTTTTTGATGTTGCTATTTGTAGACAAGACCAATATGATTGTGCCTTCCTCTTTGCGCTTCATACAAAGAAGGAAGAGAGGAATTGTGCAATTTGGCATTCAACAAGACCGTTACTAATTTTTTTGTATTTCCATTTCTAACCAAAGACCCCCAAAACCTATTTCAGATCAATATATTTTCACACATCCTTTTCAAATTAGTTTTTGTCCCTAACTCTTATTATAGTGGTATTTAATCCTTTATCCAAACAATGACCTACAGGTGCATGGGTTGTCTAGTTCTTTATTGATGGTAATAAGATGGTATATTTTTAAAAATAAGATCAGGTCTTGACCTTCTTTAAGAATTAGTGCTATATTTGCATCTGTCCAACTTTCTTGTATCCTTCTTCAATCCAGAATTGAATTTGTCATTTTTTAAATTTGTCATTTGTAATAGTTGATCTTCAAAATATTTGTAATAGGAAGCTGGCAATCCTTCTGGCCAGGAGCTTTCCCAGACTTTTCTCATAGATTTCCTTTATTATTATTATTATAGGTCCATTCATCAGCTGCTTTAGTCATTAACTTTGGTAAATATTTATTTAAATATTTATTTTTGCCAGGGGAATTTCTTCTCTCTAAAGTTTTGTGTAATACTGATAGAGCATTATTTGCATATTTAAAGGTAAAGGGAGGTGGTCATCTCTGTTTCTTAGCTGAGGGAGTCAGCCTTGTCTGGTGACCCATTTGGGGTCATGACCAACATGACTATACACATGGAACGCTGTTACCTTCCCATCAGTGGTATCTTTTTATTCACTCACGTTTGGGTGCTTTCGAACTGCTAGGTGGGCAGGAGCTGGGGCAAGAACGCCCCCCCCCCATCATGTGGTGCTCAGATCTCAAACCCGGGCTATAAGCTTCCCAGCTAACTAGCTCAGCATCTTTAACTGCTGAGCTACTGAGCCCCTTGTTTACATATTTGCATTATCATAACCGTAACCATAGCATTATCATAACCATAACATTCCCATTTTGTAATTTTAATATCATTTTCTTCTCACTTTTTTCTCACTTTATAAGTTAGCCATTTTCCCAGCTTATTTGCTTTCTCAAAATTTTGCAAATTACATTTTTAGTTCCATTTCTTTAATTGTTAACATGGAAAGTTTGTGAAAGGTTTTTTTTAAAAATACTTTTTCTTCCTGGATGCCTCTTTGATTCCTCCTATTTTATTTTTATTCCCTTTTAAATATTTCTCTTCTCTTTGTCTTTTCAATTTACCATTTTGCTGTACAAATTGTCATCTCCTAAAGGCTTACTTGCATTTCACAATGTCCTTATTTCCATGCCTTTATTTAAATTAATCCCAAAATATTATTTTAGATTCTTTTAGTTCTTAATTTTTTTTTAGCCTCCATCTGTAAGTTCTACCCTTCCTCTTCCATATTAACCTGAAAAAGGTTTTGGTAGTATCTCCATTTTATTGGTACCTATAGTAAGCTTCTTAGAAATCAAAACTTATCTATTATTGAGAAGGTTCTGTGACTTTCAGAATAGTACACATATTCTTTGGAGTTACTATTTTTGTATCTCTATATCAAAGTTGATAAAGGCATCACGGATGCTGCTGGTTTAGGGTTACAGTTAGGGAGTAATAAACCAGACTTTGGCCACTACCCATTAGGTGCTTATAATAAGACATGGGCTGGTTGAGACCAATCCTTTTCAATGGAAATTGTCCCACAGCCTGGTCTCATCTGCTGGACAATTCCACTAAATGCCTCAAGCCAAAAGGCCCCAAAGGGGTTAGAAAACCAAGAAAGACATTTCTGGGGAGATCAGCCCCTCCCCCCCACACTTAAGTGATGGAGACAAAAATAGGTAGCTATTTAAGATGGGGGCAGAGTGAGTAGGAAGAGAGGACTTAATTTGGACTTCTTGGGGTACATATTGATTTTCTAGAACTCTGATGGGGAAGCTTTTAGGCTGTGACTGTCTAACTTCTGAGTTCAGGCATGTTCAACTTTTACATTGTAATGAACAGTTTGCCAAAAGGAAAAGGAAAACCAGCCCTGAGGAAAAGTTTTGCCATTCAGCAACATGAGACAACTGCCACCCTAAAAGGAAGACTTGATGATGATAATGACAAGCTAAAAACAAGCACAAAATGCAACAATGGAACTTGAAAGTCTGCAGCTCTTGTCCACTATATACATAAAACCTTCATCTTGAAAACCTGCAGTCCATGATTCCCCTTGCTCTGCCTTCCAGATATACTTCTATGCTTTTGAAGTTTTCCGCACTGCCAGGCTGGAAGAGCTGGTCATCCCTTATGTCACTCTGGGCATTGGTCTCTGCGAATTTGCCTCTGTGCTCCTGTGCGTAAGTACAGATGAGTTGCTCACTCATTTTGCACCATCAGTTGCAAAGAAAAAAGGCCATGCAATCAGGTGGCAGCAGCTGGATCAAGGCCCTGGTGGGTTGGCATCCTCTCCTCCAGATGGATGTCTGAGCTGAGGTGGCGCAGCAGTTAGAGTGCAGTACTGCAGGCCACTTTAGCTGACTGTGTTCAGCAGGTCAGCGGTTCAAATCTCACCGGCTCAAGGCTGACTCAGCCTTCCATCCTTCCGGGGTAGGTAAAATGAGGACCCAGATTGTTGGGGGCAATGTAAATATATATATACATTGCTTACTGGTGTACACCGCTTAGAGAGTGCTTGCACTTAAAGCGGTATATAAGTCTCATAAATAAATAAATAAATAAATAAATAAATAAATAAATGTCAATCAGAAGTCAAGGCAGAAGGTGACAACAAAGTCAGATCAGGCTCACTCACCTCCTCCTGCGCAAGTGCGCATGTGGCCTGTCAGGGTCCTTTGGGGTGAGCTTCTGTTTGGAGTGACCATCTCTTTTGCCCTCAGAGCTCCATCATTGACCGCCTAGGCCGGAGAGTTCTGCTGTGCGGCGGGTTTGGGATGATGGCCCTCACATTGGCTCTCCTCGTCCTCACTCTGTCTCTCCAGGTAAGCAAGTCCCACCTGGCTACTTCCTGGCTCTGTGGATCAATACCTTTTGGGCAATTCTTTCATTTTAATTCACATTTCTCTAACCACAGTATTAGAAGGCTTCTGTTTATTGTCCCACTTGCCACAAAATGACACAAAGGTTTTTACTCAACAGATACTAGTTTTTTTCATTTTAATGTTTATTTTTATCTAAATTTTAATTATACTAACACTGTTTTATATGTGTGTGTGTGTTTGTGTGTCTGTTTGTATAGTCTTTTTTTAGTCTTGTCATCTGCTGATTATCAAAATAAATAGATGGAAATGCATTAACAATTTAAAAAACTTGTAAGGACCTGCCTCCTTTCTCTTACCAAGAAAGCAGAACTCTTGAAACAGGAACATTTAATGGAAGGTACAGACAGCAGGAGAGCTAGGCAGGATCTGAGGTTTTTCCATCTGAATCAATAGGTTAAAGGAACAATCGAAACTCCACCCCAACTTCCATCTGGTCGGTTCAAACAGGCAATCAAACTCACTGTGGGAAAGAACCGATAAAGCGCCTTTTCTCAAGGTTGTTAGGTCTCCACAGCTTCTTCCCTCTGCCCGTGTTAGCACAGCAGGGGCCCCGCAACTCCCCCTACCCCAGGAGAATGGGAGAACTGAGGATGTTATGATATGAAAATATAGGGTTCTGACAAGATGAGCTAAAAAAAAGTTTGTGCTAGAAATTAAGGTTTCACTAAAATTCAAACTCAAATTCAGAATAGGGCAGAAGAGAGAATCAGAATCAGAATAGAGCTGGAAGGCACCTTGGAGGTTTTCTAGTCTAACCCTCTACTCAAGGAGGAGACACTGTACCACTTAAGACAAGTAGCTGTCTAGTCTCTTCTTAAAAACCTCCAGTGATAGAGCACCCACAATGTCTGAAGGCAAGCTGTTCCACTGATTAATCTTCTCACTGTTAGGAAGTTTCTCCTTAATTCCAGGTTGCTTCTCTCCTTGATTAGTTTTCATCCACTGTTTCTTGTCTTGCCTTCTGATGCTTTGGAAAATAAGTTGACCCCCTCCTCTTTGTGGCAGCTCCTCAAATACTGGAACTGGAAGGATTCACTTCAATCCCACATCTTAAGAAAGCAGAACTCTTGGAGACAGTTTCTTCCAACAGGAACTTTAATTAAAAGTAGTTGATAGCAGGCATAATAGACAGGATCTGAGGGTTTCCTTTGCAAAGCGATACTTTAAAGTGTCCCCAAGCAAACCCCACCTCACAGTTCATCTGGACGGTTCAAACCAGCCAATCCCCAGGTGTTAAGTCCATTGTGGGAAAGGGGAGATAACATTGATCGAGCTCCGGTTGTAGTGCGATGTTCAAGCAGCTCTTCACACCTCCTTTTAAGAATGGAGAAATAAGCCAGGCTCTGGAGGTTCTATTTCTTTCTTCCCCCCCCCTTTCCTAGCTGACAGGTTAGGAAGAAGAAAGTTCAGAGAGAGATACAGTGCAGGAAGCAAATTGTTACATTGTAGCGAATAGAGAAAGGGAAAGCAATAACCCCACAGGCACATTCTCTCTCCCCCTTGGGAGTATGGCAGAACCCAGGGGAAGGTGAGATTTGTTTTTAGGTCAGAGGGGATATGTAGAAATGAAATAGGAATGGATTCTGGCAGGAACATCGCTACTATGTCACCCCTAGTCCTTCTCTTCTCCAGAATATCCATGTTCATATCCTTCAACCATTCTTCATATGTTTTAGTCTCCAGGCCTTTGATCATCTTAGTTGCACTTCCCTGCATTTTTTCCAAAGTCTCAACTTCTTTTTTGTATGTGGTGACCAAAACTAGATGCAATATTCCAGATGTGATCTTACTAAAGTTTTATAAAGCGCTATTAATACTTCATGTGATTTTGATTATAAGCCTCTGTTTATACAACCAAAGATTGTATTCGCTTTTTTGGTTGCTGCCACACACTGCTGGTTCATAATTAAGTGATTGTCTACTAGGACTCCAAGGTCCCTCTCACAGTTACTGTTTTTGAGCCAGGTTTCACCTAATTTGTACTTGGATGGAAACTGATCAAAGACAAAAGCAACCTGGATTTAAGGAGAAAGTTCCTAACAGTGAGGACAATTAACCAGTGGAGCAGCTTGTGCTCCATCACAGGAGATTTTTAAGAAGAGACTGGACAGTCACTTGTCTGAGATGGTATAAGTTCTCCTGCTTGAGCAGGGGATTGGACTAGAAGATCTCCAAGGTTCCTTCCAGTTTTATTCTGTTCTATTCTATTCTAAAAAATGAAATAAGTTTGGCTTGGCATGATATGTTTTTAACAGACCTGTGCTGGCTTCTAGTTATAATTTTATTTGTTTCTAGATATTTGCAGATCTGAGTTTATCTTTTCCAGTATTTTTCCAGGTATTGATGTTAGGCTGATTGTTCTGTAGTTTCCTGGGTTTGTTTTTATTTCCCTTTTTTGAAGATGGGAAGCACAACAGCTCCTTTCCAATCCTCAGATAGTTCCCCAGTTTTCCAAGATTTTTGAAAGATTTGGCACAATGTTTCTGAAATAACATCTGCCAGCTCCTTCAGAAAACTAAGAGGTAATCTATCAGATCTTGGTGATTTATATTCATCAAGTCAGACAAGTGTTCTCTTACCATTTTCTTGTTTATTTTTATTTCTAAACTGTCTTTTACAGTCATGTTTTTGGTAGGCTGGACTATAGTTGCTTTTTGCATAAAGACTGATGCAAAAAATGAGTTAAACTGCTCTGCTTTTTCTCTACTGCCTGTTACTTCCTTGCCATCTTCTCTCTTTAATGGGCTGACTGTTTCCTTGACTTTTCTCTTATTATAAATATGTTGAAAGAAACTTTTTAAAATTTTGTTTGCCTTTGCTTGCAAGTCTTTGTTCATTCTGAGCCTTTGTTTTCTTGACGTCATCTTTCCAGATTCGGGCTATCTGCTGATATTACTTATCTTTCCATTTTTTGTACTATCCTTTTTATCTTTCAATTTATCAGAGTCTTTGAAACAGAGTTTCAGTTTCTCGGATTCTAATATATTTTCAGGCTATCCCTGGAATTTGTAAGAGGAGAGTTATTTTTCCCCTATGGGAATGAACATGTTTTTGACATGTATGAAGCCCCCTCCCCAGGGTTTTCCATTGTGATGGCCCTCTGTGGCCAAAGATTCAGATGCCTCCAAAGGCCTTCAGGTGGCTGATTCCTGTTCAACACAGTCCTACTTTCATGGGCAGGGATGTCGGCTTTTGTAGCTAGGATTTTGGTGGCTGTAAGGACCCACCCCATTTTGCTTCTTAAGAAGACAGAACTCTTGGAATATTTCTTCTAACAGGCATCTTTATTAAGAAAAAATGGTTGCAGGCATTCTAGACAGGACCTGGGACCCAAGCCCTCCCATTCAAGGTTTCAAGGGGTCCCCAGCAGCCCCACCCCACCCCACCATCCTTCCAGCAACAATCCCAGGCGTTACATTTCCACCTCCTTTTTCCTCACGGCCGGCAGAAGGGAGACTTCAGAGAAGAGTAGATGAAAGCTGATGGGCCCTATTGTTATGATTAGTCCTTTTGGTGATATCCACATTCATTCCCTTTGAAGTTGTAACAAAGGAAGTGAGAGCCATAAAACCCCTTTGCTCATCCCCCTTCCCTTTCGTAGTATGACAGAATCCAGAGAAGGCAGAAATGGGGTTTTCCATAGTCGATAACTAGAGATGAAATATAATTGGATTCTGACAGTGGCATAAACTCCAAGTCTGAAGTCTGGGGGCTACCTTAATCTGCAATTTCCCTGTATTTTGGTATATAATTAATGAATTAATAGGTATCCATATCTGATGTGTATCTTCATTGCTAAACAAGAAGTGAAGGCAAGGAACTGGTTTGGGATGGGAAGCATATTTTTCAAATCTGATTGGAAATGATGGGGTTATGTTGAGGAGTGGAATTGAAGCAAAGGCTGTGAAGTGTCCAAGGAAGAATAGATGAAAAAGAAGCCATCAATTTGGTGAAATGCTGAGAAAAATGATAAGTCTACAGATCAAGATTGGAGAAAAGATAAATTATGATTATGGGTCACTTATGGCATAGCTTATGCAACTGGCATGGATGAAATCTGCAGTTCCTTTTCTCTGACAGTTCCTTTTCTCTGGAAGAAAGAGAAAACAGACAAATGAGTGCAGAAACAGCAAGGAGTCACTCTGTTATGTGTCCTCAGAAAGACCTTCATCAGATTTCTGACTAGAAGAATATAAGAAGGGATCAGAAACAAATTTGGGGGATGGAGGGCAGCTTAAAACTGGGGAGTGGGCTATGCAGACCTGAAAAATGTGTGAATAGGACAAAGAAAACTTACAAAAACTTATGTCTGTCAATCAAATTTGCTAGTCTGAAAATGTAATTTTTTAGCTTCATAAAGTAACCTAGCTCTCCTTGTACAGAGAGACAGAAAGAGTAGAGTAGTATATGATAAAGTGACTTAGGTTTATATTATGGTACATTTTCCAGAAATATGGAATTGCTTGATGAGTGAGATAAAAGCGTGTTCTCTTCATGTTATTAAAAGGGGGTGAGAACTGGGTATATTAGGAGAAATTTTTAAAAAAGTTCAAAGCAGTCATAATGGAAATACTAGAAGAGATACAGCCAAGCATGAATGAGTGTAGAAGGAATCAGGTGGAATACAACAGAATGTGTGTTAAGATAAATGAGGAATTGGATTGCAACACAAATATATGAGGGCAATTTGGAAATAAACCTCCGTTTGGTTATCAATGACACACACAGATACAGAACTTTTATTATACACATTAAAAAAACTACAACATGACTTTTTGACATAATCGCCATTCAAACTGAGGCACTTGTCATAATGTCTTACAAGGTTTGAAATTCCTTAGTCATAGTCACTCAGTGCCAAATCTGGGTATGGGGGAGGTGATCAAAGACAAAACAGAACTGCTTCAAAAGTTCTTGGGAATGTCTAGTGGTGTGGGAGTGAGCATTATCATGAATCAACACCACACAGGAAGTAGTGCCATAGAAAATCCCGCCAAATGTGAAGATGCCAAAGGAGTACGGTTAGTGAAGTTCATGGAGCATGGTTTGACTATCAGTTCGGATATCTACTGTGCATTACGAAAACTCAGACAAGCCATCCAAAACAAGCGTCAGGGCCTGATGACTTCCGGTGTGGTGTTGGTTCACGATAGGAATTTCAAACCTTGTAAGACATTACGACAAGTTTGAATGGCGATTATGTCAAAAAGTAATGTAATGTTGTAGTTTTCTAATGTATATAATAAAAGTCTGTCATTGATAACCAAATGGAGATTTATTTCCGAATTGCCCTTGTATGGAGAAGTGAAGAGAAGCCTGAAAAAATGATTGTTAGGATGGAGTTGATGAGATTCTGAAAAAGAAAGAGGAGATAAAGTTGAGCTTATCAATGAACGAGGTGGTGCCTGTACAGGGTGAAAGAAAGGCGAGAAAGGCCCAGAAACATATACTGCAGCATAAAAACTTTGGGACAACTATGAGCTGGACAACTGAGAATCTCCATAAGCATGTAGGACAAAACAATTTCCATTATGATACCTTCTTTTTGCTGTGCAATTTCTCTGGCTTCATATTTGCAATTTCTTTTCTTTGAATCACAGAGTTGATTGTCCTGAAAGGAATGAGATGATGGGGAGGGATGGAGGTCTGCTAATTCACAGCGACATTGACTGCTAATACTCCATAGGAGTTGTTAAGATTTTCTATTGCTAGAACCGCTATCATAGCAGCAGCTAAATCCATTGTAAGCTGAATAATTTGGGTTTCCTATTTCAAGAGTCCCCTCCACACACAGACTGCAAAAGTACAGGAGGGGACAATGTCTGGTCTAATTTTGGTTTGCTGACAGTGGGCCCTCACTTTAATCCCACCTGCTCTTGTTCCTCCCTTTTAGGATCAGTCTCCTTGGATTTCATACAGCAGCATCGTCCTCATCTTCCTCTTCATAACTTTCTATGGAAGTGGTCCATGTGAGTATAGTGAAATCAAATATGGAGAAGCCATGAATAATAGGTTTGGAAGGGACTTTAGAAGTCTTCTAGTCCAACCCCCTGCCCATGGCTGGAGACTCTATATAATTCTGGACAAATGTCTCTTCATTCTCTTCTTGAAAACCTCTAGTGATAAACTAGAGCACCCACAGCTTTTTCCACCTATTATATCTTGTCCTGCCCTGGGTGCTTTGGAGAATAGGTTGACTCCCTCTTCTCAGTAGCCCCTCAAGTACTGGAAAACTGCTCTCATTATCAGCCCTAGGTTTTCCTTTTGTTAGAGTAGACATACCTAGTTTTCTCAGTTGTTCATCATGTGGTTTGATGCAGTATTCAAAATGTGGTCTCACTAGTGCAGTATAAAATGGTACTATCACTTCACGTGATCTTGAAACTATCCCTCTGTTGATGTAACCTACATCATGTTCAAATCTCTCAAGGTCCTTCTGGATCTTTAGCCTGTCTTCCAAAGTGTTAGTAATTTCCCCCAGCTTGGTGTCATCTGCATATTCAATGAGTTCTCCTTCTAATCTCTCAACTAGAGCATTTATGAAGATATTGAAGAGTAGTGGGCCTAAGACAAAACCTTGGGGTATTCCACTGCATGGTTCCCTCCATGTAGATGCAATTCCATTGAGGACGACTTGCTGAGTACATTTGGTCATCCAGTTTAGAAGCTATATGGTGGTAGTACTGTCTACCCCAAATATAATCTGTGGTGTACTTTGTCAAATGCTTACTGAAGTCCAAACATATTAGGTCCATAACGTTTCCCTTATCTACTAATTTTGTCAATCAGTTTGTCAAAGAATGCAATAAGATTTGTTTGGCATGATCTGTTTTTAACAACCATGTTCTAGCAATAACTTGTTATAGTAATAACTTGTTTGTTTTTAGGTGGTTGCAGATCCATTGCTTGATTATCTTTTCCAGGATCTTCCTAGGTCTTGATGTCTGACTGACTGGTCTGTGGTTTCAAGGACTGACTTTGTTGCCTTTTTTGAATGTTGGAACCACATCTGCTCTTTCCAGTCCTCTGACAGTCCTCTTATGCTCTAGGTCTAGGATCTTTGAAAGATTTCATTCAGTGGTTCTAAGATCACATCTGCCAGCTCCTTCTTCCGAGTTGGATGACATCTGGGATGTCATCCAACTGGTCCTGGTGATATGAACTCATCTAGGGAGGACAGGTGTTGCTTTATCTTCTTGCCTATTTTGACTTGCCTTCCTATTCTGTCTTTTACAGTATTGTTTTTGATAGGTTGGACTATTTTTTCCCCTTTTGTGTAAAAAGAGATGCAAAGAATGAATTAAGCAGTTCTGCTTTCTTCCTTCTGCTCATCACCTCCTTGCCATCTTCTACTAGGTGACCAATCATTTCCTTGACTTTTTTGTTTCTTACTTTATTTTGCAAATGACAAATGGCTGCTACTCAGTCCCTGAATAAAGGGAAGGCTTCCACCTTCTTTGGCAGGGGTTCTCCTGCCTCACCTCAAAGAGCTTTTTTCCTGACATTCAACCAGAACCTACTTTCCTATAAGTCAGTGATGGCGAACCTTTTAGAGACCGAGTGCCCAAACTGCAACCCAAAACCCACTTATGCATCGTTGAGTGCCGGGTGGGTGTGGCCCATTGGCTGGGTGTGGCCAATTAGTGGGCATGGCTGCGGTGGTAATGGCAGACTGTGTGGGACTAAAAAGTTCAATCAATCAATTCCAACTTTGCAAGATCTTTTTTCCCACGAGAAGTTGAAATTGACTAATTGAACTTTTTTTTTTTGCACATGGCGGTGGAGGCCTAAAGCAAAAAGGTTTTATAAAACCCAGCTGAAGGCCTAGGACTGGGGCGATGGTGCACGTGCCCACAGAGGGCTCTGAATGCCACCTCTGGCACCCTTGCCATAGGTTCGCCACCACTGCTATAAGTTATACTTTTGTTCTGAGATCTTTTGTGTGACATCCTTTCCAATATTTGAAGGGCCTGGTCAGACCTCCCTTCAATCTTGTCCATTTAAACAAAATGGAACTGTTCATGCCCGTGATTTCATGTCTTGAATTTGCCTCATCTTCAATATCCAAGGTTCTTTTTCTTTGAACAATTGCCAAGTGACATATTTCTCATCTGATACCTGTGCATTCCTGTTTCCTAAACAGCAACAACTTTGCTTCTTGTTCTGATAAATATGATTGGAGTTTTTTCCAGTCCTTTTCTGCAACAGGTGATTCTGCTTGCAGAATACTGATGTAGATGACAACTGCACTTATACAGCCCAAAGGGGGTCCAGCTGCAACTAATTTCTTCCTGGAATTCATGTTTTCTGCCACATAGGCTTTTTCCTGGCTTCTGCCCATCACCAATCTTGGAAAAGCAGTTTTGCTCTCATCCATCCCAAGGAGTGCATTTTGTGCAACAAATTATTGTTATTATCTCATATAGTGACGCAGGGGTGATGGGGGTGATGTGTCTTTCCCTGATTTTCGGGACAGGGGAGAAGCCCAGTGGAATACTATGTGCTTGAACATGTCCACACAGGGGTATGGGGATCAGAATCCTGACTATGAACATAAAATATGAACTATGAACATATTTTAAATTAAGTGAATGACATACAGAGATTAGGAGCAGTCTCCGCAGGCTGTTTTGTGCACTAAAGGAAGGGGCACAAGGGACCCAAAGCTGCTCAGTAGCTTGGAGGGAGAGTCTTGACTTTCTAGGGCTGTCTCTTCTTTCAGCTGGTGCCATCTTCTCTGTTATGGTGGAGATTTTCCGTCCTGATGCAAGACCATCCGCCCTGGCCCTGGCCGGCATGTTCAGCTGGGCAGGCGTCTTTATCATTGGCATAAGTTTTCCCTTTGTGGTGGTAAGTTGGACTGAAAGTCATGAGTCCACAGGGGAGAAGAAATAAATTAAAATAATAACATGAATCAGGAATCTTGGTGATTGATTTTAGAGCTGATTTCCAATTAACCATTTCAAAACATTCTTATTGTTCTTAATTTCAAAGAAATGTGTTCGTTTTAAAGAATATCACTTGGGTTTGCTTCTGCTGTCCTTCAAGTGTCTTAAAATGGGAAGCTCAATATAGCATTTTTTATTGTTTCTTTCAATCATTTCCAAAGAAAGTTCCCTACCCATAACTCTTCTTTGCCCCAATGAAGACTTTGGTCTTCCTTTCCTTCTTTCCTATTTTAATTTTTGAGCTCCAAGGCATTTTAGAGAGCATCATTCAAAAGGACCTGACTGACCAGCATTTTAGTAGTCAAAAGCCCTCAGCCTGACCTTCTTCGCGGAGTGTGGCTCTAGAGATAAAGTGAATAACCATCTCAAAAGAAACTACTAGAGAAAGGGCATGAAAGAAATATTTTAAAACCAATCGATAATTAATAAGCAGAACATAAGATTTTGAGACTCAAAGGATATAAAAAGGCAGAATAAAAATCTAATTATCATCATCCCCACCATCCCCACCATCATCATCAGCTGGCACCCATGGGAAGATTTGCCCCAGGGAGGCTGCACCCCACTTAAACAACTTTAAGTGGCTCTTCTACTACCACTCTGTGGGGAGAGGCAAGTGATGGTGCTCAAAGAATTGGCACTAAAAAATCTGCTTCTGCTTCCTGTTTCCGCCAGCAGCGTCATCGGCTGGGAGACTCGGGATGCTGAGCTCTTCAGCTGAGTTTCTTCTTGTGGCCCCCTAAATGGGTCAGAAGCCGCCCTGGAGAAGTGGCACTGAACGAAGGTACTTCCAGGGACCTAGGAGAGATGGCGGTCTCTCTGATCAGTCCAGGAGAAGCCTCCCAGAAACCAACAGAAGAAAGGCTATCTAACTCCTTGTCTAGCCCTAGCTGTAAGCAAATGGAAGTCAAGAAGCTCTACCTAAACTGATTGTAAACAGTGTGTTTGAAGCTGGGTAAGAACTAATTTTCTCTATCCTACTTATTTTCCTGAAAAAAAAAGAACTCCCAAGAAGCAAAAATACCTCCGAGAGTGAAAAAAGGGGAGGGATTCTTCCCCCCCCCTTTGACTATTGGAAGCAGCAAATTTAACTCTTTAAGGAGAAAAAGAAAACTGAAAAATGATCCAACACTGATGAGGAGCTAAAAAACTTTTATTTGTGGCTTTTAAAATCTTAAAATACAGCTGTTCAGAGAAAGTGATATTTACAGAAACAATGGATGTTTTACAAGAGGAAATATATGATATGCTGCAATCCATCCAAAGAACAATGATCTTAAACTATAAAGAAATACAAAACAACTTTGAAAGTATGTCAACTTATCTCCAATTTCAGCTCACTTCAAAAAAATCCTCAGGAGAACACAGCAGTGGTGATGGAATATAAATCAGAGGGGAAAGGCTTAAAAATGGACTTTTACAAAATTAAGTATGACTTAATCAAGTGGAAGGAAAGACAATTTATACTTCAACATCACAAAACAAATTGGAAGACAAGAGAAGGGATTCTAATGGAAAAAAGAATGCAAGTGCACAGGACAGAGATATTGATTTACTTTCTACATCTACAGGAACACCTATGATCTAATGTGAAAACCTTTGGATCCAGCAAAGTATATTGATCAAGAAAGATTCGGGGCTGTTGTTTGGTTGTTTGGACGCAACGTATTATCATATTTGGTGGTCATGTAAAAGTATAAAAGCTTTTGGGATAAAGATATGGTGGAATATTCAAAAAAATTTTAAGAGAAAGATAAAATTTACTCCACAATTGTTTTTGTTAGGTATTATTGTTGATTGTAATGATAAAGAAATTATTTTAATGTTAAATCTAATTACAGCGGCAAGGTTGTTGATAGGACAATATTGGAAGCAGGAATTTTTGCCTACCTCGGAGGAATGGTTTTTTAAAGTTTCTTATTTATCTGAAATGGCAAAAATCTCTGCTTATTTGAAAGATCAATCGCAAGAGAAATACCTTTTGGTGTGGAAAAGATGGATAAATTTTATACAGTATAAGTATGATATTAAAAGGTATTATTTAGCTTTTGAATAATTTATGTTTAAAGTTTAAAGTTTAAGACAATAAGTATTTTTTTATTATATACATATATTGGACCTTTTTATTATATATATATATATTGGATTTTTTTAATGTAATTTTTGTTTTAGGTTTACTTAAGTTTAAATGTTTTGTATTTTTAGTTCTTGTTAACCCTGTATTCAGCTCTGGGAAGAGGGGGGGAGGGTTTTTGGGAGGGCTGGGAGGTAGTGTGTGTAAAACTTTTAATAAAAAAAAAAGAAAGAAAGATTCGGGGCAAAGAAAAGAGATTAAGAAAAAAGATAATGGGACATATCAGAGAGAATATTTTAAAAAGAAACATGTGTTTGAATATGGTTAAAAAAATTGAAAAAATTTGAAACACACCATTCTAAGAGGGATGAAATGTTTTAGATACTTAAATGTGATTGAATTCAAGAAAAGTACATATATATATATATAAGTGAATTAGAGTTAAGGGACTAGATGACTAGATTTATTTGAATAGAATGTCTAAAGATTAACTATATTCTTAACTATGATTAATAAGATATTCGAGAAAATAAATACAATTAATCTAGGAGGGATATATATTCTATATTAAGTTTGAGCCACTGAGCACTTTGTCCACTCCTTCTTGGAAACAATGTGATGGATAAAAAGGACTTTCCTATTGTCCAACTCCACCCATGGTCCATCAGATTCACTCAGTGACTTGGATTTCCTTAGATTTTCAGTTCTCCAATTAGTCCCAAACAATTATGGAGGGAGATTGTGGTTCTGGGAAGGGAGCCTTTCTGGGAAAACCAGAAAGTGACTTGATTACATTCAGAAAGAGTGAATTGAGGTTAGACAGTGAATCTGTCACCTTTACCCATGGGAAATTCTTACCCTTCCCAGAGTCTGGCAAGACCTCAGTTGCACCCCAATCTCCTCTAAACCTCAGCCCAGAAATTCATCCTTCCCTCTGATTTTCTGTCCTTAGGAGGCCCTTGGTCACTACTGCTTTCTCGTTTTCTTTGGTGTGCTCATCGGAATGGGACTTTTCACCTACCTCTTCATTCCAGAGACAAAGGGGAAGTCCATCCTAGACATCACAGAAGACCTCAACAGGATCCCTCTAGGGAAGAGGCGCACATTTCCTGCTCTGGAAAGCAGCTCTCCCCTCAGGAGCCATGGCCTTTGCACCAAGTTATGACCACAGCCCTGCAAGCCCTGCAAAGACAGACTTTGGTGCCCAAACCAAATGTAGGGCTAATACAAAGAAAACCACCAGGGTGAGGGAGGAGAGGGGTGGGGAAGATGCTCCTGATGGGATCAAAGCAGCCAGAGGAGAAGGCCTTGCACGCTTCCCTCCTTCCATCGGAGCTGGAAAGCTCCAGGCATGACAGGTACAACTCTGGGTCATATGAAGCTTCCGGGGTCTAGCACAAAAGCCTTAACTTAAAAAAAAAAACCACGTAACATCACAATGTATGTATCCTAAAATTAAATATATTTAAGATATTATTACCATGTGATTTTGGGGTATTTATGAGTGGATGGGATCGCTTTGACTTAATAGATGAATTCTGACCAAGCCTTGACATGATAGAGGCATTTAATTCACCTTGCAGAGATGTTGATTCTGTCCTTATAGCTTACAACAACCTGGGTGCAGGACTAAGAAAAGAAAATTAGATATTTAATTTATATTAAAGAAATTTCTGAAAGAATAAAAACAATACAAATTATGAAAGAAAAAAGTAAGGGAAGTAAATAAAAATAATATGTAAATGAAAAAATGCAAATAAAAAATAGAGAATAGAAAGAAAAGTTATAGAGAAGTGGCTTCTGATCTTAACAGCACATAACAAGGACATTTATATTTTACCTTCTCTCTCTCTAAGGTTGCCTGACAAATGCCTTCTTTCCATAATTTGCCCTTTTAAATGATTAAATATATAAATCACAAGCTCATTTTTTTCATGTTTCAACAAAGAGTCCATAAGAGGTTTCCAGTCACTAATAGTTGTAATTATTGTCCTTTCTCTAATCTAAGTCATCTCTGCTAATCCTGTCATCTTCACCAGCCATTCCTCCACTGTGGGCATTTCAGAGTCTTTCGACAAAAACAAAAAACCCCTCCCCTGATAATAGGCCCTCCCTGATTTTATTCATTCCCTGAGAAGATGATGGATTTGCTTAAGGGGTGGGTTATGGGAAGAGGAGATAATCTTTCACAATTCCAGGAAATTACTGGAAGTAATTTCTTTATATATTTCTGTTCTTTTTTTTAGCTCATTCTTTCCTTTTTTCTTTCTTTGTACTTTTTATTCTCTCTTTTTACTTTCTTTTCTTTCTTTGAGTTCAGTTTGTATTAGTTTTTATTATAGTCACTAAAATCATCAGCAATAATTACATATTTAAAAAAAAGAAAGGAAAAATTAGCCAAGAGCAATCTGGACTTAGGCTTGGCCCATCTACTATTGATAACTGTTTCATTTTATGTCACCTAGAAAAACATGCAGCTAAGGGGGGCAAATTGTTTACCCCACCTGCAGAGCGCAGAGCACCATTTGACTCAATGAACAGGGACCTTCTTGGGAAGCAACTGATGGCGGTAAGGCAGAGAACCCAAATGGCTCTCCTTGATGAAGGCTCAAGCTCAGGCTGATGGCTGTGCACAGGGGGCAGAGAGTTCTCTAACAGGGAGAATTCACACCAATAAAGGGGCCAGACAAGGATGGATATTTGGTCCCATTTGTTCAATCTGTACATTAATAATATCCCAAATGTCCTGCATTCAACCCATATGCTTATGCCTAAAGTTAAAAAATAAATATCTCAACAAGCAAGGCAGACAGTCTGTCACAGTGTCAAGAATGATTTGCTTTTCACCTGGTTTCTTCTCCACTCTCAACTTGACAGCAATTGGGAGAGATGTGGTTTAATTGCATGAGGTGGGAACGGAATGCCAAGAATCCATATGCAGGTCATGAAACCCTGCTCCTCCCTTCAAGGCCACGCTGCACAGGTGTTTGAATGGCCTAGGCCAGGGTTTTTCAACCGGTGATATGCGTACCAACAGTGGTACTTTGCCACCTGGCAGGTGGTATGCGACCATCCTAGGTAAGTGGTAGAAGGGCAGAGAGGAGTGAGCTGAAGCGGCAGCAGCCCTGCACAAGCCCAAGGGAGAGACAGCTGGAGCTGCAGGGATGTCGGGGCTCTGCAGAGGCGCCAGGATTAGTACCGGGCTCCAGCTGATCGGTGCTTCTGGGAGCTGGAGGTGCCTGGAAGAGAAAAGAAGTGGGGGGAGAGGATAGGATATAAAAGGAGGTGGCTTGCGAAGAGGTGGCGAGCATCCATCATCACTGCTGAACGTCTCTGCTGAACACTGAGAAAGGAAAAAGATAGAAGAAGTGCTTCCCTTTCCCCCGGGTTGCCAGCGCTCTCACACACTCGCTGCCTTCTCCGTGCAACCCCAGGGGCGGGGAAGAGATGGCAGAGGAGCCTCGCTGGTTCCAGGGCTTCCTGTGGATCTAAGGCTGAGCACGTTCTGGCTTTGATGGCCCCCACCGGTAGATCAGTGCCATGCCCACTCACAGACCTAGCCTCGAACCACCTGGCTTCCCTTTCATCGGGACCACCCCTGCCTGCATGGGATGGCTATTGCCAGCGGCAGCATGGCTACTGGCAGCCCTGGCAATCTCTCCCCCTCCTGACATCCCTTCCTGAGCGTGGAAGAAGGAAAGAGAAGGGAGGGAGGGAGGGAGAGAGGGAGGGAGGGAGGGAGGAAGGAAGGAAGAGGCAATTTGGCTGGAAATGCCCCAGTTCAAAGCAGAAAGCAATTTTGTTTTCTGTTTTGTCACAGACAATAATTTGTTGGCAATCCAAGTTAACATCGGTATTCTTAGGAAAGTATCCCTTCCTTGTGTATTGCTAACAGCCACTTCAAGTGGGGAAAATAGGACAAAGCAGAGTGGGGAAAATATTTTCCTTTGCTATATTTCCAGTCTGAATTACAAGATGTATTAATAGACCCTAAGATTATCTGGGACACTACACATCCTCTTCACGACCTGTTTTTCTTGTTACCTTCTGGGAGGAGGCTTTGTGGTATCCGAAGCAGAACATCCAGATTCAGCCATAGTTTCATCCTATACAGCATTAACCTTGTGAATCTCAAGCTTCCTCCTTCCGTTATATATTCAAGATGGACAGTGTTTAATATTTATTTGTTATATATATATAAGGGTGTGGGTCTATACATATGTTGCATACAGTATGTTTAGGTTTGTGTCATGTATGTGCTTCACTTTGAGATCGGGCAACTAAATTTCATTTTTGATGTGTGCTGTTGTGGCCACAGTAAAAAAAATGACAATAAAGGTTATATTATCTTATCTTAAAAGCAACTAAACTACCTCTGTTCCTAAATGCTAAAGCTGTTGCACATAAAAAGCGGAGGAGCTCTGATCAACTATCACAGCCACAATTTTGACAGTTTTGCTGTACTGTTGTCTGTGAACACCCCCACTAAATGCAAGCACAGGATAAACTGAGCCTAGTTTTTCTCAATCTTTTAAGTCAGGGCTTTCCAATCTTTTCACAGATTGTACCACTTTTAGGACATGACAATACTTGAGTACCACCAGTGCTTAGCAAGGTGCCAAAAACTTGATGACTAAAAAAGGGGGGATTTTGGGTTTTATTGATTAGATTCATTTGTTGTTATAGACATGGCTAGTTTATAATATTATGGGAAAGTAAAATGTTGAGGTTCAGTGTTAATGCTTCCTTCTACTGCAAGAGAGGAAATCTGTTCTTTTTCCCTTCTTCCCCTCACTTTTCCCCCCTTCTTCCTCCCCACTGTGTCTCACTATTTGATTTTGTATTTTGTGTTTTATTCTATAATCTAATAAAATATTACAAACGGGAGAAAAAAAGGAAAAAAGTACCAGTGTTAATTTCTTCGGTGGCTGTTCCTTTGCCAAATCACTTTCCCTTTGCACTGACAAATGTATGATGAATTTATCCATGTTTATTAATATGTACCACTGCCAGCTAGTTCAGGGATCTTCAAACTTGGCGCTTTTAAGACTTGTGGACTTCTAGAATTCCTCAGCTATCATGGCTGGTTGAAGAATTCTGGGAGTTGAAATCCACAGATCTTAAAGTTGCTAAGTTTGTAGACCCCTGAGCTAGCTGGTCGACCCTTCTTCCTCTCTCCCTTCTGAGCTCTTTCCACAGTGTAGTAAGAATGCACTTACCACAATCCCTTCCCTGTACCCTTAAAGACACAGGAATCAAGTGCAAAGCAATAAAGGCTCACAAAATAAAGAAACACATAAACTCCGGGTTGTTTTTTAAGCTACCTCAAGCTGTCACGTGTCAAAATGTTGCAACTCGAAATTGAAAGGCTCCAGCAATGGCAAAAAGCTTTAGCCTTAAATTAAGCCTCTTTACCTTCAAATAAAACTTTCTAAAAGTCATAGATGGACTCAAGATAAGGGGGTAAAACTAATTGCATTTTAAAGGGATTAAACCTATGGAAGTCAACAATTTGGACTCATTGCTAGCCTAAAATACAGACTAAAATATTCCAATAACCAAAGCACATAATCTGAGCCTCTGAATTACAAAACACTGTAAAAGCTGTACAAAAATCCTTATGGTAACCCAATCACGTTGCCAGCTGACCCAGAATTAAATAAACCCACCTCCTTTCTGACATGGTCATCTGCTGGCTTTTGATTTCATCAGTGCTGATTGCATTCTCCTAGCTGGAGAAAGTGAACCAGGGACCTTTTCTTCCAGCAGCAGCTGCTGCTTCTTCTCTGTCCCTGTTTCTTCCCTGCCTGCTCAGCTCTCCTTCTCTTTCACTGATGTCTTTTTTTCCTTTCCTGCCCAAACCATCTCCTTTTATATCCTCTCCTCCCCCCTTTTTCTTCAATTCACCTCCAGCTCCAGCTGCTTTCAAAAGTGCCAATCAGCTGGAGCCCTGCTGGCTCCTGGGGCTTCTACAGAGCCCAGACAATCCTGCAGCTGCAGCTGCCTCTCCCTCAGGCTTGGGTCACTTTGGCTCATTCCCCTCCCCCACTACACTTCTCTAGGATGGTTACATACCACCTGCCATGTGGCAAAGTACCACAGGTGGTACGTGTACCACCTGTTGAAAAGCCCTGTTTTAAGTGGCTACAAACTACTAGCAAAAGTAGCATTTGATCACAAGGCAAGGAGGCATTGAGAAATGTTTCCCCTTTTGCATTTGAGCATCCCAGAAGGGACAGGGAAGGAGAAAGGGGAAGAGGAAAGACAAAGAAAAAGAAGGAAAGAGGGGAAGAGAGCAAGGAAGGAAAAAGAAGGAAAGAGGGAAAGGAAGAAAAAAGAAAGGAGAATGAAGGAAGGAAAAAAAGAAAAGGGAAGAAGGAAGGAAGGAAAGATATTATAATGAGAGGAAGGAAGGCTCTGAGGGAAGTCCTGCCTTAGCACTTGGCCAGCAGCAGCCCTGCTGCCCTTTTGCCATCCCCTTGCCCCCTCCTCCTGGCCTAACCTGGTGGTCTCCCAATTGCGAAGGATGCTTTGGTTACAAAGCCAGGTCTGCTCACATGGAGAGGGAGTGGGCCTCCCTCTGACCCACGCACTTTGCCCTCCTGCACCCACCATTAGCAACCTGGCCAAGGAGAGGGAGCACAGCAACAGCAGCAGCCTCCTCAGGAAAGTGGGGCTGGACTGGGTTGTGCTGCAGGGTCCTGGTGCCCCAGGAGCTCAAGGACCAGGCTGGGTGCTTGTCCTCTTTCCCAGGGCTCTGGGCAGCCTGCACCACCATCTGGGAGTCCCCCGCACGGCCCAAGAGGGATGATGAGGCTCCTCTGATGGACCATGCCCTGGTGCCCACCCCAGTCCCACCCCCCTCCACTGGAAACCCCTGGATCTCCCCCACAGCCCTGCCTGCCCCCCCATAAGTGCCCCCCACAGCCATTGACTTTGCTTCTCAAAAGGTTGCTAAAGAGGATCACATGATCCTGGGACCCATCAGAAATATGAATCAGTTACCAAGCATCTGAATGTAAATCATGTGATTCTGGGGATGTTGCAATGGTCATAAAGGTGAAAAATGGTCATAAATCACTTTTTCCAGTGACTTTGTAACTTTAAACAATCACTGAGTGAACTGTTGTAAGTCGAGGACTGCTTGTACTTTATCACTTTGTTCCTTTTTTTTGGGTCAAGTTTTTGACACCTTGCTAGGCGACTGGTGGTACTCGAATATCCCTCTCACAGTTATTATTGTTGAGCCAGAAACCACCTATTCTGTACCTACGCATCTGTTTTTTTCCTGCCTAAGTGTAGGACCTTACTTTTCTCACCACTAAACTGCATCTTGTTGGATAGACATGGGGGAGAGGCATGGAAACTTAGCAGTGCTAGAGAAGAGACTCCTCCTAGCGTTAAGTGTGTCTTTCCTATTTCAGCCTGATAAAGCTGATAGCCCTGTGAAGAATCACAAAACCTATTAGCTCTGTCTTTATTGTCAGGTGGCATTAACAGAATGTTGTCACACTGAGAGTATTTCTCTCCTCCTTTCCTTTGACACTGGAAAACTCGGGAGGGTCCCTTCTGAGATGCTTCCCTTCCCACCACCCTTTCTATAAACTGAGACTTCTTTTATACGCTCTCCCTTCCGCCTTCCAAGGTACAACATTATATCTGCCTTCTGGGATGAGAGGCCTGCCACCTTCTTTTCAGTATTGGGAGCTGCTTAACTTGTATGCCACCTGTAAGGACCCACCCCACTTTGCATTTTAAGAAGAAAGAACTCTTGGTATATTTCCAACAGGCATCTTTATTAAGA